AGGAGGGCCCCGAAAACTCCCAGTGACCTCTGTGTCCCCAAGCCTCAGCCTGGCTGGGCAGGGGTCAGAGGTCCAACCCAATGGCCTCCCTCCCTTTTCTCCTGTGGGGCCCTGCTGAGACCAGTAGCAAAGAGGTCAATTGTCTAAGGCCTCCCTTTGTCTGAGTGGCTCTATAGAGGTCTCTGAATGCCAAAGTGTACCCCTACACATGGATATGCATTGCATGTACATCTTTATGATGTGTATGTGGTACCTCTGTACATGCAGTATTGTGCAAGCAGATGTGTGCACATTTTAGTAAGTGTGTACATGATGTGCAGTGAGAGTACACGCATGTCTGAGTTGTGTATATGTGTGTAAGGTGTACAGATGTGTGTCTGTGTGTGGGTTAATGCACATGTACATGCATGCACATGTATATGGGACTTGCATACAGTGTTTCTGAGCTGCTGACATAGGTTCTAGAAGGAAACAGCTTGCCTGGATTGTCATCTTGTAGGATGAGGGTTCTCAAGGAGGTGGTAGTAGCCATACTGCTTCTTTTTTTTTTTTTTGCCAGGACTGGGGCTTGAACTGAGGACTTGAGCATTCTCCTTGTGCTGCTTCAGCTCAAGGCTAGCACTCTACCAGTTGAGCCACAGCAAAACTTCTGGCTTTTTCTGTTTATGTGGTACTGAGGAATCAAACCCAGGGCTTCATGCATGCTAGCAAGCTCTCTACCACTAAGCCACATGCCCAGCCCAGTGCTGGTTCTTAAGGCTGAAAGAGGAAAGGCTCTAACTCATCCCGCAGCAGATTATACAGGGGCCTGAATCTGGTGTTCACCATGGTAGGAAATAGGCAGAATAGGTATACAAAGACTCCTCACTCAGCTTTGCTTCATTGGCCCATTCCAACTTGGGCTTTCAAAGCAAGACCCTCCAGAACTTTCTACACTGCTCCTACCCATCCCTCCTCTCCCCTCCTCCCCAGCCCTTTCAGGGGTGCTTGATTAGATTCAAGGCATGTTGTGTGAGGCTTCAACCACATGGCAAGAGCAACTGTGAAATGCCCTGGTTCCATCCACAATGGACTCCACAGAGCCTCAGGGCCTTGGCATATGTCCTGTCATCTTGGTCCCTGAACTGCCTGTTCTCATAGACGCCCACAGGATGCCATGACTGATATTTGGTGAAAACTGATGCTGTCCACTGGTGTTTCCACAATTCAAGGGCATCCTTTCAAGAATGACAACAAAACATATTTGATTCAGAAACTGAGAAAAGACAAATAAAAAGGTTTCACTTTCTTAAAAGATTGATTTCCCAGCTTTTAACCTGCACAGCTGCCATTGAATAACTTTCAGCTTTCTTCTTGTTCTTACCCCTCCCATCCCCATTTCCTCTCCTTATTCCAGCAAAGGCTTATCTTTCAACTGTAGAAAAGTCACCAATTAAACTGCACTCCAAAACATCAAAATATTCATTCAGTAAAATTATCTTATAATTAGCTGAACTATCATCCAGAACTTTTTAACCTCAGGAAGTGTAAAGTGACCCAGCCTATGAAATCTGTTAAATCACTCATCCTGACCTTTCTGGCTATAGTTTTTGCTTTTCTTTTCTTTCATTTTTCCCTAAAGTAACTTACTCCTTGTCTTTTACATTTTTGATAGACCCAAGACATCTTTCTCTTCTGTTTGCTTAAATCCCAAGGAAAATGTACTTTAGTTGAGATAGACCATTGAGTGAACTGAGGTGAACTGGCCCTGACTCCTGATCACTCACACCATCTTTGGTCCTGCTTTTCCATGCCTGCAGTAACAACACAAGGTTGAACTGTCCTGCAACTAATATATTCCAGCACTAGCCAAGGGATTCTGCAGTATGTCAAACTGGACAGTGACACTGGGATTTCTTAGCTCAGACACTGGGCTTTCTTAGCTCAGCCACTTTCCCCTCTCCTTGTCTTCTCTCTACTTTGTACCTCTGCTGGAGTCCCATCTGTTACCTTACACCACCTAGGGAAACACCAGAAATGACATCTTCTATCTCTACTCCCAACCATATTGGAGACTCTCAAAGAAACCATGATATTTGGGGATCTTAAAGTGTAGCTTAGACTTCTTGCACAGAAAAGGTATTAGAGATGACACAAGATTTTCTGATTTTTGGCAGTACTGGTGTTTGAACTTGCCTCATGATTATTAGGCCATGGTTGCTCTACCACTTGAGTCAAGTCTCTAGCTCTTATGTGCTTCTGGGCACATACATTCAAGGGACTTGTTGAATAGGGCATTAGACACTGATCATTGTTTTTTACATAATTTCCAAAGTTCTAAAAACAATTGAAAAATTATTGGACCACCTGCACCTTTTCATAAATTGGGCATTGCCTGTATATAATACTAGTAGTGGTTGCTAATATTCAAAGAGTTTTATTTTAGTCCATCAGAGAGTAGGTACACCTAGTCAACTAGTCAATTACAGAAAAATTGCTTCATGGTCATCTTACTGTTGTGAGATAATCACTATTTTGCTCATTTTTCAGTTGGGAAATAAAGGCTGTCTGTGAGACTCAGTGACTTGCTGATACACAGGAATCTGGTTGACTGACATGTGTTTGTTGTGATTGGCTGCTGCCTTTTTGTGCACAGGCTAACTTCCCAGCCTTCTGACTGACTCCCCAAATAACCTAGAGGGGTTTGCACCACAACCCTTCAGGAGAAGGGAGAAATTGTAGTTCCACCTCAGTTTCCTGTGGCCTCTGTATCTAGAAGAGTGCAGGATCTCTTCAGGTCACGTGTGTATTTTTGAGTCAGTTTCTCTGCTGCTCAGAATTGAGGCATGCTGCCCATGAGCTGGTGGGGTTGTGAGTGCTGAGCTGATTTCTAGGTCACTCCTGGTCCTACAGGCCAGTTTCTCTTTGATGGCCTGGGCTCCACTTTTTAATTTAATTTTTAAATTAATTTAGTAATCTGTATTATCTTTAAGTAGTTGTACAAAGGAGTTGCCATTTAACAAAGCAGTATATGAATACAATACATCTTGATTGATGCCACCCCTTTCAATATTCTCAACCAAACCTTCCCAAGCCCACCTCTTCCCTTGCTTTCTTAATTTTGCAGGGTAGACATTGAATTGTAAACTGTATTCTGCCTCCCTCTCCTCTTCATTTCTCTAGCCCTTCACTCTTGACCCCACTCCACCCCTTTCTTTATTTTACTTTATTTTTTATTGTCAAAGTGATGTACAGAGAGGTTACAGTTATATAAGGAAGGTAAGAAGTATATTTCTTGTCAAAGTTGTTACCCCTTGCCTCATTTTTCTCTTACTTTACCTCCCCCAATCCCCCACCCCCAAGTTGTATAGATAATTTCCAATGTATTGCCTTGTGTATATCACTGTTGCATTGGTTCCCACCTTGTCCTTTGTCTCACCATTCTGTTGTTCCCCTTTCCTTCCCTAATTCAAATAAATGCATATACAATACCAGGGTACCAAAATCAAATACAGTGACAACAGGAGGGAAGAACATACAAAAGAAACAAAAAAATCACACAGTACATTAAAAATAACCAAATGTAAAACCTCTTGTGTCCATGTCTTACGGTTCATTTCATGTAGCATATTTTATATGGCCATATGTATATAAGTATTGAACTTTTATGCTCATCTGCTAAGATTATCCTAGATGTATACTAATTATTGCAAATAAGGGAAACCATGGGACCTATGTTTCTTTGGGTCTGGCTTATTTCACTTAATATGATTTTTTCCAAGTCTTTCTATTTCCTAACAAATGGGATAGTATCATACTTTCTGATGGAAGCATAGAATTCCAATTTGCACATATATAATATGCATATATATACATATATATGTATATATAATTATATATAATATGCACATATATATATATATACATATATATGCTACATTTACTTGATTCATCTACTGAGGGGCATCTGGGTTGGTTCCATATCTTAGCTATGGTAAATAATGCTGCAATAAACATAGTTGTGCTGGTAACATTAGTGTAGGCTTGTTTGTGATCGTTTGGGTAAATGCCCAGAAGTGGGATTGCTGGTTCATAGGAGAGCTCTATTGCATAGTCTTTTAAGGAACCTCCACACTACTTTCCAAAGTGGTTGAACAAGTTTACACTCCCACCAACAATGCAGTAAGGTTCCCTTCTGGCTACATCCCCTCCAGCATCTGTTGTTATATAGCCATTCTAACTGGGTTGTTTTGATTTGCATTTCTTTTATGGCTAGAAAAGTTGAGCATTTCTTCATGTGTCTATTGACCATTCTTATTTCCTCTTCAGAGAAGTTTCTCTTTAGCCCACTTGTTAATCAGGAAGTTGTTTCTTTGAGGATTTATTGTTGGAGGATTTAATTTTTTGAGTTCTAAGTATATTTTAGATATGAGACCCTTGTCGGTTGTATGGCTAGTGAAGATCTTCTCCCAATCCGTGGGCTTTCTATTGATCTTGCTAGCCATGTCCTTTGCCATGCAGAAGCTCTGCAGCTTCATGCAATCCCATTTGTCCAACCTTTCTTTGATTTGTTGTATTTCTGGATCTTTCTTAAGAAAATTTCAGCCTGTGCCAAGGACTGTGCTCCACTTTTTGCTCCTGGGATGGGTGTGATAGGATACCTACTCGTGGCTTTCTTGTCCTAATCTAACCCTGGTGTCAGACACATGCTGCCACCCACCCCTTCTTGGTTATCCCAGAGCTAAAAGAACCTCATTCTGCCAGTCATTCCTGAGGAAGGATGTTTCTGTCTGATCCATAGTAAAATATTCTGCACTTCTTTATACCCTTTCAAACACAATGGTTCTTTAAAAGTAATGGAAACCAAAGCTCTATGACTTGATATTCTCTGTGAAGCATTAACCACAAGTCACTTAAGGAAATGTTTAGAAAATAATTGCCCATATTGGCTTAATTTGCTTGTGCATTCAGCAGGTTCTTGATCTTATTTAATTTGTGTTTCTCTTTCTTCTTAATTACAGCTCGGGTTGACAATAGACATTCGTTACAGCCACAGGTAAAGCATTTTTTTTTATCTTTTAAAGAAATATGTTGGGTTAGTTTAGAGCTTTTGGTTTGCTCAAGTCTTGAAGTTTTTGAGTTTATTTTTGGTTCCTATTTTTCTGTGGTATCTATGGCACAGATGAGATGTGGTCCTAATTGTTTCATTGTTAAGAGCAAATTGTGCTTTTGAGGAATAGTGGCAATAGGTGGAATATTTATATTCAAATACAAAAAGGGATGATCGATAGCAGGGACTAGGAGGTGATATCTGAACATGCCTAAAAATGAGCATGTAAGCAAGGGATGTTCTGTGTGTGATTTGAGGACTCTGTGAGACCCTCCCCCAGCCATGTGGGCTTCCTCCTTCTGCCTTGGTACATCTGAGAGTGGCAAGGATAGCTATATCTGTATCTATCTATAGCTATAGATACAGATATATATCTTGCTTCCGAATTTCTACTTTTGCCTTAATGGCAGCATATATATGAACATAACTTGTTTCTTTAAAATTTTTTATTGTTATTGTAAAAGCGATGAAGAGGGGTTATAGTTCCATAAGTCAAGTAAAGAACACATTTCTTTTTAGACAATGTTACTCCTTCCCTTGCTCTCCCCCGTTTTACCCTCCATCCCTACCCACAAATTATATAGTTCATTTTCAACATAGTGTATAGTAAGTACCACTGCTGAACTTGTTCACCCTTTGTCTCTCCATTTCTGTGCTCCCCCCTTACCCTCCCAAAGACTGATACATGAGCAAACAAAAGAAAAGAAAAAAAAACAGCAAAGGAGAAACCTCATTTTTTTTCATTTCCTGGATCAGAGGTGCTCAGAGGAACATAGGCATTGTGTTTTTGTGTTCTTTCCCTACGAGTATCCTCCTTTGGTCTCACTGTGTGAATAGCTAAAGTCCTGTATAAATTATTATGTCCTGGTGTATTTTAAATCCAACTTCTGCATATGAGAGAAAACATGCACCGCTTATCTCTCTGAGCTTGGATTACTTCATTTAATATGATTTGTTCTAGCTCCATCCATTTCCCTGCAAATGATATAATCTTATTCTTTCTAATGGCTGTATAAAATTCTACTGTGTATAGGTACCACAGTTTTTGGATCCACTTACCTACTGTAGGACAGGACATCTGGGCTGTTTCCATAACTTGGCTATTATGAATAGTGCAGCAATGACCATGGATGTGCAAGTGTCTTTATGGTATCCTGGCTTGTGTACAGCTTGTTTCTTAAACAACCAGTGAGTGCACTCCTGTACTACAAATGCTTGTTTTTAGGATCAACTCTTTCTTATTTGCATATATCAGATAGTATTATAATTTTAAATTAATTAAAATTAGACCTAGTCCAAAATAGAGTGACAAGCTCTGTCCCCCCAGTCTCTATTCTGTGCTCACAGCCTCCCCAAAGCACCTCCCTTCAGTAAGGGTGGGGAAATGTCTGGTTAGCTCTGAACAAACACACATAGGATTACTTGATTCAAAACAAGTTTGCTTCCTTGCAAGTACTATGAGAAAAACTGTCTTTTCAATCAAAGGTTGTTGCATAGCAGTTCCTGCTTTGACTTGGTGGCTTGGCTCTTAGGAAAAGAGGAACTGCTTTGGGATAAGGAAGTGTTTTTGAAATGTAAGGTTTTGTCTTAAACTTGTTTGTTTTCAAGATGGATGGAAGACACACCTCAGATTGTGCAAGAAGAGGGTGCTTGAGAATGTGTACAGTTAATATTAGTTCAAAGTCACTTTACATAAGTACATTTTACCCTATTCAAACCAACCAATCACAAGCAAATGGTGAACCTGAGCTCAACCATTCTGAGCACAGGGGCAGGGCCTACTATGTTAGGAATAAATAGGGGCAGCCTGCCTGCTCTGTATGCATGCTTGTCAGATTTTGGGCACCCTTCTGCAGATGTAAATTTTGCCTTGCTGGGACAATTCTTTGTTTTCATGTCTATCATTGTGACTCCAACTGGTTCTTGGAGAGCACTTTTATAGCAGTGGGAAAAGGGGAGTGGATTTGAACTCCTTGGAATGATGTGGGAAGATAGAAGCATGTGGAAGAAGGCTGCCCCAGGGAACTCCTGGTCATGGAGGAGTAAAAAAATATCTTTCCTTACCCTGTAACAGAAGGCAGATAACCAGAGAGGGGCATACAAGTTTATTTAATGTAAATTTTGCATTAGACAGGAAACCTTCATAAGCAAGTGGAGACCCAAGACAGAGAAGTAGGACTAGCCAAAGTACCTGAAGTTACTTTGCTTGACCTTTTTTTTTGGTTGTGGGGCTTGAACTCTAGGCCTGGGTACTGACTTCAGCTCTTAGCTATTCAGCTCAAGGCTAGTGCTCTACCACTTGAGCCACAGCACCACTTCTAGTTTTTTGGTGGTTTACTGGAGATAAGAGTCTCAAGAACTTTCCTGCCTGGGCTGGCTTTGAACCATGATCTTCAGATCTCAACCTCCTGAGTAGCTAGTAGCAGCCACCGGCTGCTTGACCTTTTTTTGCTCAGCTTCTCTTGTATTCCTCTCCTGTGACTTCAGAGATCAGGATGCTCTACTGAGTATCAGGTGGGCACTTCTGCAATGAGAGCCTTAGGATCTGCTTTGGGGAGGGGAAAGTGAGAGTGACCTTCCTCTTTTGTTAGTTTCTCAACTCCAGAGCTGCCATGTTTTGGGGGTAGTGCATCTTGAACTCCAACCATTGCTTGTATGTTCTAAGGATGATACACACACAGAAAGTGTCCTGCAGAGGTGTGTTGTTGCCCTGCCTACACAGGCTATAGCAGCTGAGGGGGCTCCCAGCTACTGGCCCTTAGGAAGCCTGGTGTGGATAATACACTGAAGCCTACACACCACACTGATTGTTTGTTGTATGGGTTATATTGGTGCAAGAGGTTGGAAATTTTCTCTCAGCAACTTGTGAGGTCTTCTTTTGCTAGAATGTTCTAAATATGCATTATTCCAAAAGAAGTGTGTATACATGTGTCTGTGAGAGAGAGGTGAGGGGGGAAAGAGAGAGAAAATGAAAGAGGAAGAGTATTAGAGAGAGATTTAACATTTCCTTTCTTTGGGTTGAGATTTTCTATCAATTATGAGTTCGGCACATCCAGGGAAGAGCAGCCTGTCTGTGTCTCTTCCCTAGGGAAGATCTCACTCCACTTCAAAGAACTCCTTTCTATGATGGCTAAGGTTAGTTTCTGAGGCTCTGCAGAGAATTAAAAGTTGTATAGAAACGTAAAGACTGCATGGAAATTGAGAATAAAGTTTTCTTTTTAGTTCTTTGTCAGGCTGAAGGCCTTTTGCCCAATCATTGACCTTTCAGAATCAGATAAGTTGGTAGAGCACAGATCCCATCTGGTTAGGGTCTTTGCCCTTGATCATAAATAGGCTAGTATTTGTAGAGAAGATTCTGGTTCCTTCTCTAGAAGCAATGGTGGATGTCTGCCATTATTATGTGTAGTCACCAACACTGTACTTGGTGACAGACACTCTGGTCTAGGGTGGGGAAAGTTCCTCTCACATGTGAGTAGCTGGTGACTTAGACATATCTCCTGCGAGGATTCGATGCTAGTAAGTTCTGGAAGAAGCATTTTGTCATTGGCTTTTCCCTTTGATTCCTCTTTTTCCAGAACAGCTTGACCTTGATAAAGGAAATGTGGTTGAGAGACAGTGGTCGTGAGACTGAATGGAAAGATGTACATTGGAGCCACAGCCCTACAGGAGCTAAGAGTTCTATTATGATGAAGGGAAAGAAGAGGGAACACCTGTCAGGGCTTCATTATCATTTTTATACTCTGTCTTAAGCTCTGAGGCTTCTTTAGACTTAAGAGTTTGGAGCATGCTGAGAAATTTCACTTCTAAATCATCTATCTTGATCCTGAGATGAGCTTCAATCTCCCATGGTCCAAGGCATTTCTTTTATGACATTTCATTCAGAAATCAGTTGGACAATTGCTAATGGCTGTTAAAGGGGTCAGTATTTCCCAGATTTGCAGCCTCAGTTCTGTTTTACCAGCTGAGTCATTTGGGACAGGTCACCTGTCTCTCTGCCCTTAGGCTCTGCAATCTGCGCTCCAGTTTGTCTTGGACAAATTCCATACACTCTTGTACTCTCTCTCATTTCTTAGTTTAGAAATAAGTCTCTTGGGGGTCATTATGGAGAATAGATATCATAGCTAGGAAACTCTGAGCCTGTGTCAAGCAGTGAGGAGGCCTGTGATGGAGATGCTGTGACTTTCAAAGCATCGGTCACCTTAATGACAGGGCATAAGGGAGACACTGTTGAGTTTTTCTCAGAGACTTTGGAACTTTGGAATTGTTCATAATGTAGCCTTCTCCAGTCCTTATGGCCACCTAATATCACTAACTTATCTTGCTACTCTGTTCTTTGGACCTGGGATATGAAACAGGCAGTGTCTTATGTCAGGCTTATGTCTACTACATCAAGTCTGAAGCCTCTCCTGGAAGACCTGAGGGCTGGAGACCCGTTATCTGAATGCTAGTTCATTTGTGTGTCAGTGGAAGATACTAGCCAGGGCCTCTGTTCCTCTCCACATAAGTTAGTCTGGACCCTCCTCTCAATGTGGTGGTTGTCTTTCTCAGAATGACTGTCCTGCAAAGAGAGGAGAGCTAGAAGCTCTCTCCTTTCTGTGACCCAGTCTGATGTCACATAGTATCACTTCTACCTTATTTCCATGAGTGGAGCAGCCACAGCTCCCACCTGTATTCAAAGGGAAGCAACAGAGACCCCAACGTCTCAGCAGGTCCTAACCAGAGCATGTGGAATGGGAGATTGCAACATGGCTCTCTTTAGAAAATGTGGTCTTCCATAGAGTCCTAACTGAGTGTGGAATCTCTGTGTGGAGTACTTATAAGAAAAAAAGTAAGATATTGTCTTTTCTGTAAGGCATTTTCTAGTAGGGAATGCATAAGAGAGGTATGTCAAGACTTAAAAATAGACACAAATCTTACAGGAGGAATGAGTGAATCAAAGGAGGCTT